TATATCCATACCCTATCCCAATGCTGACTCATACTCTCGCGTAACAGAAACAGAAAGAACATAATAGAAACCCACTTCGCTAAACCCAACCACACTGCATAACCCTTCCTATTGGTACCCTAACACCTCGCATGACCAAACCACATGGCTGCCGTTACATAAACCCGCAGAAACCCCTCAACCTATTTATCCACTCTAATGCACGTTTCCCTGTCGATGTTTCTTCTTCATCGGCCGTCTGGTGGATAATCGTCAGCATCGGCTGTTCGGAGGTCTCGGACGGCAAGGCTACCTACTCAGGCCTCTTCCCACATCGCTTTCCCACATAGCAGAGTCCTCTCATGCCCACAGGTACCGCCGATAGGTACTCGGTCGGCTGGCAGCTTGCGCCGATTCGCTCCGAGCGGTCCAATCTTCGATCCGATTGATTCCAGCTGTCCCTCATATATCCACCGGTACCAAAACACTCCCCTCCAGCGGTTTGACGCTCCGGGGGTTATTATTGGGGTCGAAAACGTGTTTTTTAACTAGGAAAACCGCAACTCCGCATTTAGTCGCATATTGATCGCACCGTACCTCGTAGGTGCGGACCGGAGTTGATAGTGGTGTTGCCATTAGTATTAAAGGGTATAGGAGTATCTACTAGCCTTTTTCTCACTCCCGTAAATGCTTGGCATGTCCGTAACACTCGTTTTGCCTTTTGGGCTGGCAAATGCGCCGGCGACCTTCCAGAATATGATGAATGATTATAACGGGGACTATGGGCGTAGGAACTATGAAGCCAAGGAATACAACCGAGGCGAAGACGTGGACGTAGGAGGTTCGTGGACTATGGACTATGGGGCCGAAGGGTACACCTAAGGCAAGAACGGGGACTGTGGACTATGGACTATGAATGGTTGTACCTGGTCTAGTATACCGGGTAAACCCTATGACGTAGCGCGAACCAAATAGTATTCGTGGCTATAAAGTACAGAGGTTGCGTAAAGAGGAAAGAGAAAGAAAGAGAAACAAGAAATCACGAGACAACGCCCCCCTTATATATCCATACCCTATCCCAATGCTGACTCATACCCTCACGTAACAGAAACAGAAAGAACATAATAGAAACCCGCTTCGCTAAACCCAACCACACTGCATAATCCTTCTCCCTTATACCCAGACAACTCACATAGCCAACCCACCTAGCTGCCGTTACAATGATGCGCTGAGAGAATTCTTGGATCAAGGTGTAGTAGTATACCTTGATGATATCCTAATATATAGCAAGTCTCGAGAGGAACACAGAGAGCTGGTTGGCAAAGTACTTAGTAGGCTACAAGAATATAACCTGGTCGCCAACCCGAAGAAATCGTTCTTCGAGCTCACCGAAATCGAGTTCCTCGGATACATCCTTGCCCCAGCAGGCGTCACCATGGCACTGGATAAGGTCATGTCTGTTACGAATTGGCAAGCCCCGCGCAGTGTTAAGGAAGTACAGATCTTCATGGGCTTTGCCAACTTCTACAGAAGGTTTATCCACAATTTCTCCGGGGTCTGTAAACCCATTACCGATTGTCTCAGGGGTGATGCTAAGAACTTTGTCTGGTCTATGACGGCCCAAGCAGCCTTCGAAAAAGTCAAAACCCTGTTTACGTCTGCGCCGATCTTGGTACACTTCTCTCCAGATCGCCAGACTATCGTGGAAACGGACGCAAGTGATTTTGCTATCGCCGCAATTCTATCCCAGGTTATTGACGGAAAGACTCACCCTGTTGCCTTTTATTCTCGAAAGCTTAACCCAGCGGAACTCAACTACGACGTATGGGATAAGGAGATGCTAGGAATTGTGTCGGCCTTCAAGCAATGGCGTCACTACCTCGAAGGACCTAGCCGAACGGTTCTCGTTTATACGGATCACAAGAACTTAGAGTACTTCTCTACAACCCAGGTTATTAACCGACGACAGGCAAGGTGGGCTGAGTCTTTGGCGGAATTTGACTTCAAGATTATTTACCGCCCGGGAACCAAAAATGGGAAGGCAGATGTACTATCGCGACGGCCGGAGTACCGTCCTGAAGGGGGAGGCACGCTTGGGAAACAGCCGATAGACAGGTTGTTTAAGCCCGGACAGTTGGCGGAGGAAGAGTTTGTGGTATCAGCGGTGTCGCTTGCCTCCAAGGGGGTGATTGACTGGTCTAACGACTTTCTGGATCATGTCAGGCAGGCGGCATCGGGAGACCCGACATGGGTAGGATTGAAAGAGAGAGTTGAGCAGGGAGAGAAGCTGGGGGAAATGAAGGATATTGCTGAGAAAGATGGGCTACTCTTCTATGAGAACCGACTCTACATTCCGGCAGACGACCGCATTAAGATCCGAATTGCACAGTCAGAACATGATTCGAAGGTGGCAGGACATTTTGGACAAGACAAAACTTTGGAACTCATCACGCGTAACTTTTATTGGCCAAAAATGAACGAGTGGATTGATGACTACGTTCGGTCATGTGACGAGTGCCAGCGCAACAAACCCAGCCGCCATAAGAAATACGGTGCGCTTCTACCACTGTCCACGCCACATTCTGTCTGGCAATCGATATCAATGGACTTCGTCGTCCAGTTACCGGAATCAAAGGGATACAACCAAATCTGGGTAGTAGTCGATAGGTTCTCGAAGATGTCGCATTTCATCCCCCTAGTAGCAGAAACGACCGCGCAGGATTTAGCGAAGGTATTCCTCGGTCAAATCTGGCGACTCCATGGGCTGCCTCTCGACATAGTTTCCGACAGGGACGCTAAGTTTACTTCAAGCTTTTGGGCATCCCTTATGGAATTATTGGATGTGAGAATTAGAATGAGTACGGCTTTCCACCCTCAGACCGATGGGCAAACAGAGCGGGTGAACCAAACCCTCGAGCACTATCTACGAGCGTTCTGCAACTACGAGCAAGATGATTGGGCAGAGCTACTCCCGTTGGCGGAGTATGCTTACAACAACTCGGTTACCACCGCCACGGGTCAATCTCCGTTCTATACCAATTACGGTTACAACCCAAGAACCAATTGGCCGACGGAAGCCGAGGTAGTCAACCCAACCAGTGACCTGTACGCTCACTTTATCCAAGGAGTTCACGATTCCGCTCTCGCTCGCTTAACAGACACCAGGGAATAGATGGGGAAATACTATGATCGGAAAAGGGACGAACCGCCGAACTTTAAGATAGGCGACATGGTCATGCTCAATTCGGCCAATATCAAGACACGTCGTTCCACCAAAAAGCTCGATCATAAGAAACTTGGTCCGTTTAAAATCATTTGACTAGGCGGGAAACGGGCCTGTGAATTGGAACTGCCACCACAAGTCAAAATCCATAACGTGTTCCACATCGAACTCTTAGAACGTTACCGACAGAGCAGTATCCCAGGCCGGGAACAACGTCCCCCGACTCCCGAGGAGGTCGATAAGGAAGGAGAGGTTCTGTATGAAGTGGAAAGTATTGTGGGAAGCCGGAAGAGCAGAAGAGGATTGGTGGAATACCTGGTGAAATGGCGGGGCTATTCGATGAGCGACTGTGCTTACCAAGTCATGGACGTTATGAACGAAGATGTACTTAATCTAGTTCGCGACTTTCATCGAAGGAACCCCAAGGCCGTGAAGGACCAACGCCTGAGACTATAGAGGTACCCCACGGGGCTAAGTCCTTCCCCTCCACAGACACCACGGGTGATATGTGGAGCAGGTTTACTGGAACCTTAGTCTGTCAGAAGATGTCCCGAGACGTGACACCCTGGAAGGGGGGTAATGTAACAGAGCCATTTCAACTGTCTGGTGTATGAGTACACACAGGGCCCGGTTACATGCTGAGAGTTATTGTTAGAAGCCAGTTGCATGGTGATATGCAAGTACCGGCAGTGTGGTTAGCTACCAGCTGTTAGAGTAACTACATTCCGGGCACTAGGAAGAGGATCTATTCATGGGAGCAATGACTGACGAGTCTATGCCTCGCCAGTGACTAGAAGACCGTCCAGAGTGAAGCTCTGATTGCCCGGTGATCCTCAATATCCTCTGAGCATTGTAAGTCCGCCGAAGGGGCAGGGACTATGCTAGGGAAGTCTACAATAAGCGAAAGCTCTACAGCAATGATTAAGCTTACACCTGAGCGGCAGCTCATTCATGCAGGTCCTCGGTTGTGTGGCAACCAAGGCTGCAGGTGTTACAAAGGCTTTGACTAAGGGTGGTTGCCTTGGGTATCAGAAACACCTGCTGACGCTTAGAGAAAAGCGGGGTAGCGGTGGTATTGTTTCCGGTACTAAGGGAAGGCCCACCGGAACTTAGTAAAGGAGTTAGGAGCAGAGAACAGAGGCCTTCGGAGTATAAGTACTCAGGTTCTTTCTCGCCCTTCAGTCCTGTTTTCTCCAGTCTTCATCAGAAAGAAAAATCAAGTTCTTATCGGTAGCAGAGCCCTTAAAGATTATTGAGTTCTAGCGATAGTATCTTTGAATAATCTGCAACCTGATTGTCTATCTTGCACGGCCGTCTCTATTCTATCCGATTCTATTTCTCTTAGAAAGGACCCCCGTTACAGATAATCTTTAAGGCTCAAGTCACCTTCAGATTATTCTTCCTCTATACCAAAATGTCCGCCCTCTCAGCTCTGGATGCGCCCCTACAGATTGAATGGCAGCCGGTGCCCCTCCAGCTTGATGCCACCGGGCAGACACAGCTTGTCAAGAAGCCCAGGACCGCTCTACAGACCTACATTCCCGGCTGTGAGCCTGCCTGGCAGGATACCGACGAGATTTCCGTCCAACAGTTCTTCACAGAGCTCCAGACCTACCTCCAGCACAGCCTGCAGAATCAGTTGACCCGGGGCAGTCAGGCCCTACTCCTTGTACAAGAGCGCCAGGCAGCACAGAATGCTCTGCTGGCAGAAGCTCTTGAGTACATGAGGATGGAGGTCAACTCTGTTCAGGAATAACTCCGGAAGTATGTGGAGAGAGATGAACTGAATGCCGATGCCATGGAAATTGAGTGGACAAACCCGGCTACTCCACCAGACTTTGTGGCCGAGATACAGAGAGCCCTTGATGAAGGAAGACTGGTGGTGGGTAGACCAGCAACTCCGGCACCAAATCCAGGCTCCAGGGCCTCTTCCAGGGCAGCTACCAGAACAATGCAGCGGAAGACCAGCCCATTCGCAGCATTTCCGGTCAGATCCACTAGGAGAGTTATCCCTATTGTGCAGCCAGCGGTGGGGGCTTCGCCCTTACCACCTAGCCGCTTCGGTGGAGTACACCCACTCCTTGGAGGAGCTGATCGATCCTTTGACTATGAAGGAGAGTTCTTCTCAGGTGCAGGCCGAGGACCTCCCAGCCCGCGAGCCAGGAACCCGGGAAGGTTCACGATGTCTGGGGCCGCTCAACCAGCAGCAACCTCCCCACTGGCCAGCAACCCGGCACCAGTAGCACCTGTGGCCCCTCCTGCTGCGACCGCCGCTCCCCCTCCAGCAAATGTACAGGGTGGAAGCGGTGGGAACCAGAACCCTCCACCTCCAGCGGCCCGCGCTCCCGCTCCAGGGGATTCAGACAGTTCTGACGGTTCGGACTCGGAACCAGAAGGTGGTAACAGAAGAGGCTGGCGGAGATACCTCAGGAAGAAGTTGGAAAAGCAACAAAAGGATTTGTTTGCTATGATGTCCCAGCAGTACCGACCTCCGGCCGCTTCTCCACCTTCTGCTACTACCAGAGCCCGAGAACCAAAGGCACCACCACCCTTCAAGTTCCAAGGCAAAGCGGAGCAAGTGGAGACCTTCATCCGGCAATGTGAGAATGTGTTCTCCATTGAGAGCCTGTCATTCACCTCTGAGGAGGTTAAGATCCGATATGCAGGCAACTTGATGGAAGGAGAGGCAGCGATCCGATGGTATGAGGCATACCACAATTCAATTGATCAAGCCTCCGCCAACCGCCTTGCTGGAATGCCGGTGACTTTGGATCTGAGATGGAAGCGCTGGGATTCCTTTGTGGACGCTTTTAGAGAAGCCTTCGGCGAAGCCATCTCCAGAGATGATGCTGTAGCCCATTGGAATACCCTCACCCACACAGCTCGAGGAGGAATAGACCTCTTCTTGAATACTATCATTCAGCTGATGTGGAAGACTGGCTATGAGGGTCAGTTGGTGGATGATAAGATCAATAATTCCCTCCTCCCGGACCTAGGCATGAGTTAGGCTCTTTTCAATCCCAAGCCAAAGTCCTTGATGGAGCGGATAGCTGCTCTAAGAGAGTTAGGGCACACACATGAGAGGTACCAAGGGATAGCAGCTGAGAAAGCGCCCCCTCGGACCAAGAAGGATCCTCCCGCTCAGAAGGACCAGCAGCCTAAGAGAAAAAGAGAAGCTGCGAGCTCCTCCGGACCTCAGAAGACTCCTGGGCCTAAAGACAAGGCGGTGGAACTGAAGGGTATCCCGGGGGATATTCTAGAAGAAAGAAGGAAAGCAGAAGTATGCTTGAAGGTATGACCTTTCGGTACTCCCTATTGGTAGAGTGCATAGACTGACTTGTGCAATAGTGCGGCAAGTCCAGACACAAATGGACCGATTGTTGGTCCAAGGAACCTACTGTTGTCCGAGTGGCAGCAGTGAGAGTACAAAAGCGGAAAAGAGGGAATGGCAAGTCCAACTCTCAGAAGAAGGCTAAAGTGGCTGCTGTAGTAGCAGAGGATCCACTTGTTGTACTCCCGGAGGTTACAGAAGATTTTGTTTTGCAGCCTGAGCAAGACTCGGACAATGAAATCCTCTGGTAGAAAAGTGTCTGTCTGAGTCTATGTTTACTAGTTTTCTTTTATATGGGTTTTTCGGTTTCTGTGTTTCTCTTGAATAAATTATGATTGTGTTTCCGCCTATTTGATTGCTCTAAGCACTCTGAGGATGGGTTTAAGACCCGAAACAGCTGGTCTGTCAGTGCTCTACCAAAGTTACATTTGCTACCAAGACACTTCCAAACCGCTGCTAAAAAGACTACTACACAATACATCTGCTATATTACCGCTTGGGAATAGAACCAAAAGATTTCTGATCTTAGTAGTGCCCGAAGCTATTAGCTATGTTGAAAAGACAAAGAGAAACAAGTTTGGAACCCGCTGTTAAACAGAGAAGGTTGGAACAGAGGCTTCCCTCCTTACCAGTTCATGGAAAAAGACCTATACTGAAGGCAGGACTGTCATGGACGGTCAAAGGAAAGGATGAAGGCGCCCAAGGGTCTTTCCTGTTTGACACCGGTTGTACAGGAGCAATCCTCAACCAGAGTTTTGTCAGGAAGCATGGAATTCCCTTAGTGCGGCGAGATCAACCTCTGACAATGTTTGATGCTCAAGGAGATGTCATGATGGGAGGAGGCGAGTATTATACTCACCCGGTCCGCATGATTATGGGAGATCATAAGGAGACACTCCGATGGGAAGTGGCTACTTTGGAAGAAGGAATGACCGGTTACCTGCCAATTAGTTGGGCTAGGAAGCATAACCCGGACATCAACTGGGAACTCAACACCATGAGCTGGAGGAGTGACTACTGCAAGCAGAATTGTCTCCCAGCGGCCACCAAGATCGAACTGATCACTCCATACCAAATGTTGGAAGAAGAAGAGACAGTCTATCAATTGGTAGGTTCAGTATGGCATGATGAGGACGGAGGTGATATTGCTGAGAAAATACACCACCTATACCGGGATTGGGCTGATGTGTTCAGTCAAGAGAAGATTGAGGAAATGCCGCCGCATTCCCATAATGATTTGAAGATCAAACTCTTGCCTGGCACCGCTCCCCCATTTGGCCCGCTGTACCCATGTTCCGCTCCAGAGTTGAAGGCCCTCCGAGAGTACCTGGATAAAGAATTGTCTTCAGGAAAGATCTCTAGATCTAATAGCCCTGCTGCGGCGCCCATATTGTTCATTCCTAAGAAAGATGGTACATTGCGGATTTGTGTGGATTACAGAGGTTTGAACAAGGTCACTGTCAAGGACAAGTACCCGCTGCCTATCATGAGCGAGCTCAGAGACAGGTTGTTCAAGGCCAAGATCTTCACAAAGATAGACCTGAAGAACGGCTTCAATTTGATCAGGATAGCCGAAGGTGATGAGTGGAAAACTGCTTTCAGAACCCGCTATGGACTGTATCAGTATAATGTGATGCCGTTTGGTCTATGCAATGCCCCCTCCGCCTTCCAGGCAATGATCAATGATGCGCTAAAAGAACTACTAGATGAAGGAGTGGTTGTCTATATTGATGACATCCTCATCTACTCGGAAACTGAGAAGGAGCATGAGATACTGGTCAAGAAGTTACTACAGAAGCTTAGGGAAGCTAAGCTCTGTGCCTCCATCAGTAAGACATCCTTCCATGTCCGAGAAGTAGAATATCTAGGCTATCACATCTCGGAAAAGGGGGTATCTATGTCAGAAGACAAGGTGGAGGCAGTTAAGGAATGGCCTGTTCCGGAGAATATTAAGGCAGTACAGGCATTCCTCGGATTTGCAAACTTCTATCGCCGCTTCATTGAAGGCTTCAGTAAAGTTTGCAAACCATTAACTGATCTCCTGCAAAAGGACAAGAAATGGTATTGGACGGCAGTGTGAGGGATGCGTACCAGACCACAAGAGTACACTACGCAGAGCTCAGAGTTCGGCTAACAGCTACAAAGGTAGAAGTCTCCAAGGTCTCTTCAGTCAACGTCGAGTATAATTCTCCTTGATCCGATACGGGCCCCGCGAGCTACGTTATCAACAAGGATTCACTAGAGTTAGCGTGTGATGTTCGACCGTCTTCGACGTAATAGTTCAGGTAGAGTTCGAAGTCACGATAGAATAAAGTATTTTCAAAGTATATTCAAATAAAGTTGTAACTCGCGTATCAACGATTTATATTGTTAAGACTCTGATTTCGCCGATGATGGTTTGGCTAGTCAGTGAATGACACAGTATTTATATCCCTCGCTTATGTCTCGAGGACCCAGTCTACTAATAATACAGATTACACTCGGGGCATGCCCGAGACCCTGAAAAACAACCAAGAACATTTAACTCCTAAGTCCGCTAAAACCCCTCAACCTATTTATCCACTCTAATGCACGTTTCCCTGTCGATGTCTTTTCTCCATCGGCCGTCTGGTGGATAATCGTCAGCGTCGGCTATTTGGAGGTCTCGGACGGCAAGGCTACCTACTCAGGCCTCTTCCCACATCGCTTTCCCACATAGCAGAGTCCTCTCATGCCCACAGGTACCGCCGATAGGTACTCGGTCGGCTGGCAGCTTGCGCCGATTCGCTCCGAGCGGTCCGATCTTCGATCCGATTGATTCTAGCTGTTCCTCATATATCCACCGGTACCAAAACACTCCCCTCCGGCGGTTTGACGCTCCGGGGGTTATTATTGGGGTCGAAAACGTGTTTTTTTAACTAGGAAAACCGCAACTCCGCATTTGATCGCTTATTGATCGCACAGTACCTCGTAGGTGCGAACCGGAGTTGACATTGGCGTACAGAGGGTATTGGGGTATCTACTAGCCTCACTCTCACTTCCGTAAATGCTTGGCATGCCCGTAACACGTGCTATCTAGGCGCTGGGATCACCGCCTTGGAGAGGGAGGTGAAACTCTGCAGCCGGAGCCACAGATCTTTTTTAGGCCAGGTCAATTGGTTTTGGATCCTGCAAAGCTAGCGGCTGTCAGGGTGAATCAATTGCAGAATACATTCTTAGAGCGCCTATACACGGCTGCTAAAGAAGATAGTTTCTGGCAGGAATTGCACCGCTCCCTGGTTGAAAGGAAACCAAATTTGGACCAGAACTTGTCGGTCAAGAACGGTCTCATCTTCTACAAGAATAGATGGTATATACCCAAAGACAAGAAGCTTCAGATGGAAATTGTTACGGGCATGCCAAGCATTTACGGGAGTGAAAGAAAGGCTAGTAGATACCCCAATACTCTTTGATACTAATGGCAACACCACTATCAACTCCGGTTCGCACCCACGAGGTGTGGTGCGATCGATATGCGACCAAATGCGGAGTTGCGGTTTTCCTAGTTAAAAAAAACACGTTTTCGACCCCAATAATAACCCCCGGAGCGTCAAACCGCCGGAGGGGTGTGTTTTGGTACCGGTGGATATATGAGGGACAGCTGGAATCAATCGGATCGAAGATCGGACCGCTCGGAGCGAATCGGCGCAAGCTGCCAGCCGACCGAGTACCTATCGGCGGTACCTGTGGGCATGAGAGGACTCTGCTATGTGGGAAAGCGATGTGGGAAGAGGCCTGAGTAGGTAGCCTTGCCGTCCGAGACCTCCGAATAGCCGACGCTGACGATTATCCACCAGACGGCCGATGGAGAAGAAACATCGACAGGGAAACGTGTATTAGAGTGGGTAATTAGGATGAGGGGTTTCTGCGGGTTTAGGAGTTTGGGTAACGGACTTAGGAGTTAAATGTTCTTGGTTGTTTTTCAGGGTCTCGGGCAGGCCCCGAGTGTATTCTGTACTATTAGTAGATTGGGTCCTCGAGACATAAGCGAGGGATATAAATACTGTGTCATTCACTGACTAGCCAAACCATCATCGGCGAAATCAGAGTCTTAACAATATAAATCGTTGATACGCGAGTTACAACTTTATTTGACTATACTTTTGGAAATACTTTATTGTGACTTCGAACTCTACCTGAACTATTACGTCGAAGACGGTCGAACATCACACGCTAACTCTAGTGAATCTTTGTTGATAACGTAGCTCGCGGGGCCCGTATCGGATCAAGGAGAATTATACTCGACGTTGACTGAAGAGACCTTGGAGACTTCTACCTTTGTAGCTGTTAGCCGAACTCTGAGCTCTGCGTAGTGTACTCTTGTGGTCTGGTACGCATCCCTCACAGTATATTGTTACTCACAAGTTCACTTGGAGTAACGAAGTCACCTCGAAAAGAAGAACTATCATCATTATCCGCTATTACAATGACTGCCCGAAGGGATAATTATTTCATAGATACCTCGGCCGCAACCGAGGAGGCCGGGGGGGAAGATTCTATGGTAATATCGAGGGCTGCTAGCCCAGATCCCCTACTTACGGGAGGACCCTCTACAACAACTAGGCAATCGAGTAAACGCTCTGCTCAAGCCCAGTTCGTGAGGAATATGCAGGAGTTTTTGGATACCCATGAGGCACAAATGAGGTATCTTGGTGCCGCTGGACAGGCCGTATGGCAGCAGTTACAAAACCTCCAGGAGCAAGTCCAAGGGAGTGGACAAATCCTGGATAAGAAGGTACGGGAAGAAGCCATTGCCCAAAAACAACATCTCGAGTCGCTCTTTGAGCTCGTCACCCATGTTCAACAAATGCAGGAAACCGCACGAGCCGCCGACCACGAGGTTCTGGACCGCAACCATCGGATTACCCAGAACCAACTATTGGAAGCGGAGCGACAGCTGAGGTTGGTACGAGAAGAGCGGGAGCAGGAGAAAGGTGAACAACGGGCTATGTTTGCGCAGTTCAAGCAGTCCGATGAGATAAGAAACCAACGGATAGCCGAGATGGAGGAACTACTGCGACAACATCTATCAGTAGCACCTTCCGTGGCTAGTGCTCCCTTAGACCCTAATGCACCCCGAACGGTTCCTGTTGGCAATGGCAAGAACCCCCAAAATGCTGGCCCCCAAACATCAGGGAATGGCAAGCAACCAGAGGAAGCTGGCCCAGTTGGTGGAAACGGAGGCAAGCAACCGGAAGACGCAGGCCCAATACAGGGGAACAGTGGCAGGCGTCCGGTAGGAAATGCTCCGGTAGGAGGGAATGGGGGAAATCAACCTCCCCGAAACCCACCAAGAGGGAACGTTGGGGGAGATCCAGAGCCTTCCGATGACGATGACGACGATAACAGCGAATGGTCGCACGGTCGGAAGAATTGGAGAATGAACCGAGGCGGGAACCGGAATTCGGCGCCGCCCGAAGATGAGGATATGGTAGATTCGCTCGCCAAAATTCCATTCGAGTTCGATAATGCCCGGAAGCATAACCTGCGGCATTGGCTCATGGAGTGCGAGATCTACTTCGAGCAGAAGCCAAAGAAGTTCCGAACGGACAGAAACAAAGTACTGTTCGCTGGAACATATACGTGTGGGTTGGCGAAGGAATGGTTTATGGAGTATATCGAGACCAAGATGCTAGGCCCGGCAGCCGCGGACTATGCTACTTGGACTCGGTTCCGTCAGGAGATTAGAAAACGTTTCCTAAGCACTCAGGAAGCTATGGAAAACGCGATGAAGATGCAGCAGTTCAAGTACTCGGCTAACATCGGGGACTACCTGACGAGGATGGAGATTATGAACCAGCATGCTCAGATGAAAGGAGCATCCTATCGCGCCGCCTTGCTCCAAGGGTTACCAAATGAAATCCGGGAGCGCCACTCACGTTTCGATCCAACCGATGACGACTCCGAGTACATCCAACAGTTGGAACGAGCCGGCAAGGCTCACGAGGCTTATCAAGAGCAGATGAAAATGTTGGGGAAAGCGGAGTCGAGGGGAAGGGAGTCGAACAATGGTGGGAACTCGCGGCAGAAGGAGAAGGGGTTTAAGATCAAGGGGAGGGCTCAGACTGAGGAGAAAGAAAAGGGGCAAGATAAGAAGAGCACCAGCAAGAACAAGTCGGGGAATAAGCCAATATACCACGACTACGACGAAGCCACCAAAGGAGTTCCACAGCCGGTCCGAGAACAGCGAAAGACCGATGGAGCCTGTGTGCGATGTGGCCGAAAGGGTCATCTTTGGAAGTGGTGTCGTTCAGATGCTAACAGCAGTGCATCTATCTCCTCTTTCTCACGAAAGCGTACCCGCGATGACGATGGCGACCACGATATGGAACCACCGGAACCCCAACCTCAGAGAAAGCGAATGAGGCACCGTGCTAAGAAGCCGGCTGCGACGGCTGCTGCGGAGTACACCAGTGGGCAAGCGTTTGTGCGAGAACGCGGATCGGAATCTGAGATGGATTTCGATGAGGATTTTTAAAAGGGGACTCTGATGAGTCAGGTCAGGAGTATCCCCAGATTGCTATGTTATCACTGACGGAAAACAACCAAAAAAATATGAAAAGAAAAAGGCAGGAAGGGAGAGCGTCCAAACCGGAGAAAAAACAGAAAATTTTGGAGGAACCTATTCATGGTCCTCGACCTATCGTTAATCAGTTCATTTGTTTTGCGAAAAAATGTTTACCTTGTAAGGTGTTGTTGGATACTGGTGCAACTGGTCCTGTTTTGTCTGCTGTTTTTGTTGATAGTTTTGAGGTCCCGAAGGTGAAACGAGACGTCCCGGCCCGGGTATTTGGATTTACGGGAGAAGTTATGAAGGGCACGGGACACGCCTTTACACAACCATTAATTATAATGTCAAGGGGGCATCAAACACAGTTGTCATTCGAGATCGCCCCTCTCCCACTTGGCATCGATGCGATACTACCGAACTGGTGGTTGAAAGAACACAAGCCAGTTATAGGGGCAAATGGGGAAGTTACCTACGATGGTGAGAACTGCAAGGGTCGATGCTTCACTGACAAGGAACCTCAAATAGAAATGGACGAGGGTGTACTGGACGATCCGGAGGCCCAATTCATCGGTAGCATTTGTCTCTTGGAAGATGAATCGGTTAACCTCCGTGAGACCCTTCCCTCTTGGCTCCATGGGTTCCTTAAAGTCTTCCTACCATCGGAAGCCGACAAATTACCACCGCATCGATCTTACGACCATGCGATAGATCTCGAACCAGGGAAACAGCCACCATGGGGACCCGTTTACTCTTTATCCGAAGTCGAGCTGAAGGTGCTTCGGGAGTACCTGGACAAAATGTTGCGATTGGGAAAGATTAGGCCGAGCAAATCCCCGGCAGGAGCCCCAATCCTATTTGTGAAGAAGAAGGACGGTAGTCTACGACTTTGCGTTGACTACCGTGGACTTAACCGCGTGTCCATCAAGAACAGGTATCCGTTACCGCTTATGGACGAACTACGAGATCGAGTGGCAGGCGCGGTTATTTTCTCGAAGATTGACCTGAAGGAAGGTTACAACCTCATCAGGATCAAAGACGGCGACGAGTGGAAGACAGCATTCCGTACGCGGTACGGGCATTTTGAGTACCTCGTCATGCCTTTTGGGCTGGCAAATGCGCCGGCGACCTTCCAGAATATGATGAATGATGCGCTGAGGGAATTCTTGGATCAAGGTGTAGTAGTATACCTTGATGATATCCTAATATATAGCAAGTCTCGAGAGGAACACAGGGAGCTGGTTGGCAAAGTACTTAGCAGACTACAAGAATACAACCTGGTCGCCAACCCGAAGAAATCATTCTTCGAGCTCACCGAAATCGAGTTCCTCGGATACATCCTTGCCCCAGCAGGCGTCACCATGGCACTGGATAAGGTCATGTCTGTTACGAATTGGCAAGCCCCGCGGAGTGTTAAAGAAGTACAGATCTTCATGGGCTTTGCCAACTTCTACAGAAGGTTTATCCACAATTTCTCCGGGGTCTGTAAACCCATTACCGATTGTCTCAGGGGTGATGCTAAGAACTTCGTCTGGTCTATGATGGCCCAAGCAGCCTTCGAAAAACTCAAAACCCTGTTTACGTCTGCGCCGATCTTGGTACACTTCTCTCCAGATCGCCAGACTATCGTGGAAACGGACGCAAGTGATTTTGCTATCGCCGCAATTCTATCCCAGGTTATTGACGGAAAGACTCACCCTGTTGCCTTTTATTCTCGGAAACTTAACCCAGCGGAACTCAACTACGACGTCTGGGATAAGGAGATGCTAGGAATTGTGTCGGCCTTCAAGCAATGGCGTCACTACCTCGAAGGACCTAGCCGAACGGTTCTCGTCTACACGGATCATAAGAACTTGGAATATTTTTCAACAACCAAGGTTCTTAACCGACGACAGGCAAGATGGGCTGAGTCTTTGGCGGAATTTGATTTCAAGATTATTTACCGCCCGGGAACCAAAAATGGGAAGGCAGATGCACTATCGCGACGGCCGGAGTACCGTCCTGAAGGGGGAGGCACGCTTGGGAAACAGCCGATAGACAGGTTCTTTAAGCCCGGACAGTTGGCGGAGGAAGAGTTTGTGGTATCAGCGGTGTCGCTTGCCTCCAAGGGAGTGATTGACTGGTCTAAGAATTTTCTGGATCATGTCAGGCAGGCGGCATCGGGAGACCCGATATGGGTAGGATTGAAAGAGTGAGTTGAGCAAGGGGAGAAGCTGGGGGAATTGAAGGATATTGCTGAGAAAGACGGGCTACTCTTCTATAAGAACCGACTCTACATTCCGGCAGACGACCGTATCAAGATCCGGATAGCACAGGCAGAGCACGATTCAAAAGTGGCAGGACACTTTGGACAAGACAAGACGTTGGAGCTCATCACGCGCAACTTCTATTGGCCAAAAATGAACGAGTGGATTGATGACTACGTTCGGTCATGTGACGAGTGCCAGCGCAATAAACCCAGCCGCCATAAGAAATAGGGTGCGCTTCTACCACTGTCCACGCCTCACTCTGTCTGGCAATCGATATCAATGGACTTCGTCGTGCAGTTACCGGAATCAAAGGGATACAACCAAATTTGGGTAGTAGTCGATAGGTTCTCGAAGATGTCGCACTTTATCCCCCTAGTAGCAGAAACGACCGCGCAGGATTTAGCGAAGATATTCCTCGGTCAAATCTGGCGACTCCATGGGCTGCCTCTTGATATAGTTTCCGACAGGGACGCCAAATTTACTTCAAGCTTTTGGGCATCCCTTATGGAATTATTGGATGTGAGGATAAGAATGAGTACGGCTTTCCACCCTCAGACCGATGGGCAAACAGAGCGGGTTAATCAAACCCTTGAGCACTACTTACGAGCGTTCTGCAACTACGAGCAAGATGATTGGGCAGAGCTACTCCCGTTGGCGGAGTATGCTTACAACAACTCGGTTACCACCGCCACGGGTCAATCTCCGTTCTATACCAATTACGGTTACAACCCAAGAACCAACTGGCCGACGGAAGCCGAAGTGGTCAACCCAACCAGTGACCTGTATGCTCACTTCATCCGAGGAGTTCACGATTCCGCTCTCGCTCGCTTAACAGACACCAGGGAGAAGATGGGGAAATACTATGATCGGAAAAGGGACGAACCGCCGAACTTTAAGATAGGCGACATGGTCATGCTTAATGCGGCCAATATTAAAACACGACGTTCCACTAAAAAGCTCGATCATAAGAAACTCGGCCCGTTCAAAATCATCCGACTAGCCGGGAAACGAGCCTGTGAGTTGGAACTGCCACCACAAGTCAAAATCCATAACGTGTTCCATATTGAACTCTTGGAACGTTACCGACAGAGCAGTATCCCAGGCCGTGAACAACGTCCCCCGACTCCCGAAGAGGTCGATAAGGAAGGAGAGGTCCTGTATGAAGTGGAAAGTATAGTGGGAAGCCGGAAGAGTAGAAAAGGATTAGTGGAATACCTGGTGAAATGGCGGGGCTATTCGATGAGCGACTGTACTTACCAAGTCATGGACGTTATGGACGAAGACGTACTTGATCTAGTCCGCGACTTTCATCGAAGGAACCCCAAGGCCGTGAAGGACCAACGCCTGAGACTATAGAGGTACCCCACGGGGCTAAGTCCTTCCCCTCCACAGACACCGCGGGTGATATGTGGAGCAGGTTTACTGGAACCATAGTCTGTCAGAAGATGTCCCGAGACGTGACACCCTGGAAGGGGGGTAAGCTGTTACGGGCATGCCAAGCATTTACGGGAGTGAAAGAAAGGCTAGTAGATACCCCAATACTCTTTGATACTAATGGCAACACCACTATCAACTCCGGTTCGCACCCACGAGGTGTGGTGCGATCGATATGCGACCAAATGCGGAGTTGCGGTTTTCCTAGTTAAAAAAAACACCTTTTCGACCCCAATAATAACCCCCGGAGCGTCAAACCGCCGGAGGGGTGTGTTTTGGTACCGGTGGATATATGAGGGACAGCTGGAATCAATCGGATCGAAGATCGGACCGCTCGGAGCGAATCGGCGCAAGCTGCCAGCCGACCGAGTACCTATCGGCGGTACCTGTGGGCATGAGAGGACTCTGCTATGTGGGAAAGCGATGTGGGAAGAGGCCTGAGTAGGTAGCCTTGCCGTCCGAGACCTCCGAATAGCCGACGCTGACGATTATCCACCAGACGGCCGATGGAGAAGAAACATCGACAGGGAAACGTGTATTAGAGTGGGTAATTAGGATGAGGGGTTTCTGCGGGTTTAGGAGTTTGGGTAACGGACTTAGGAGTTAAATGTTCTTGGTTGTTTTTCAGGGTCTCGGGCAGGCCCCGAGTGTATTCTGTACTATTAGTAGATTGGGTCCTCGAGACATAAGCGAGGGATATAAATACTGTGTCATTCACTGACTAGCCAAACCATCATCGGCGAAATCAGAGTCTTAACAATATAAATCGTTGATACGCGAGTTACAACTTTATTTGACTATACTTTTGGAAATACTTTATTGTGACTTCGAACTCTACCTGAACTATTACGTCGAAGACGGTCGAACATCACACGCTAACTCTAGTGAATCTTTGTTGATAACGTAGCTCGCGGGGCCCGTATCGGATCAAGGAGAATTATACTCGACGTTGACTGAAGAGACCTTGGAGACTTCTACCTTTGTAGCTGTTAGCCGAACTCTGAGCTCTGCGTAGTGTACTCTTGTGGTCTGGTACGCATCCCTCACAGAAATACTGTCCGATACCCATGACTCTAAGGTGGCTGGCCATTTTGGCCAATTTAAGACACTAGAGCGGGTGAAAAATAACTTTTTTTGGCCCAACATGGATAAGGATGTTGAGGAATATGTCCGGAGCTGTGATAGCTGCCAGAGGAATAAGACCTCAAGACACAAGAAGTTTGGTATGCTCCAACCTTTGGAGATACCCTATCGGCCATGGACTTCCATCTCTATGGACTTCATTGTGGGATTACCGGAATCTAGTGGGTTTACAAAGATCTGGGTAATAGTGGACCGCTTTTCGAAGATGGCACACTACATCCCTCTTCCTACCCTCAATAAAACGGAAGATTTGGCTAAGTTGTTCTTGAAGGAAGTTTGGAGACTACATGGTTTACCTGATGACATAGTCTCGGACAGAGATAGCAGGTTTATTTCTCACTTTTGGCAATCTCTCATGAGTCTCCTCAATGTGAAGCTAAAGATGTCCACATCCTTCCACCCACAAACGGACGGTCAAACAGAAAGAGTTAACCAGACCCTGGAACATTACTTGCGGAGTTATTGTTCATATCAACAGGATGACTGGGCAGAACTCTTGCCTTTGGCAGAGTATGCATATAACTCGGCGGTCTCTGAGTCTACCAAAGTATCGGCTTTTTATGCCAACTATGGATATGAACCCAGGACCAACTGGCCGGCCCCAAAGGAAGGAGTAGAATGGAACAATCCAGCAAGTGAGGTCATGATATCTCAATGGGAATCTATCTGGCAGGCTATGAATGCCAGCTTGGGTAAAGCTAGATTAAGGATGGCCCGGTGGTATGATGCTCATGCCCTGGCACCACCTGAAATCAAGCCCGGAGATGAAGTAATGTTGGACCGGCGCAATGTGCAAACAAAGCGGCCTTTGGGAAAATTGGATCAGAAGAAGATGGGACCCTTCAAGGTCTTAGAAGCTATTGGTACCCGTGCCTACAAGCTCTCTCTTCCCCCTCAAATGGGAATCCACCCGGTCTTTCATGTCTCTCTTCTGGAACCTTACAGAGCACCGGTAGATCCTGAGAGAAGAGTTCCTCCACCGGAACCTGAGGAGATTGAAGGAGAGCAGAACTGGGTTGTCCGAGAGGTAGCTGATAGCCGGGTCAATAAGAAGAGAAGACGAGTGGAATACCTAGTGCTGTGGGAAGGTTATGAAAACGAGGATGCTACATGGGAACCTTGGGAGCATCTCAAGAAGAGTGCCGAAGAAGCCCTTCGGGATTTCCATATGAGGTATCCTAAGAAACCCAAGGACAAGCGGATTGTTGGGGTGTAGTTTTTTCCTTTAGGTTTTCGTTCCTTGCATATCACGGAGTTTCTTGTCACATAGAATGGATGGTAATAGAATGGTTATAGATCTCGGAGACCAAGATCCTGGAAGAGGGGAGTGGTGTAACGGAGCAATTTCAACTGTCTGGTGTATGAGTACACACAGGGCCCGGTTACATGCTGAGAGTTATTGTTAGAAGCCAGTTGCACGGTGATATGCAAGTACCGGCAGTGTGGTTGGCTACCAGCTGTTAGAGTAACTACATTCCGGGCACTAGGAAGAGGATCTATTCATGGGAGCAATGACTGACGAGTCTATGCCTCGCCAGTGACTAGAAGACCGGCCAGAGTGAAGCTCTGATTGCCCGGTGATCCTCAATATCCTCTGAGCATTGTAAGTCCGCCGAAGGGGCAGAGACTATGCTAGGGAAGTCTACAATAAGCGAAAGCTCTACAGCAATGATTAAGCTTACACCTGAGCGGCAGCTCATTCATGCAGGTCCTCGGTTGTGTGGCAACCAAGGCTGCGGGTGTTACAAAGGCTTTGACTAAGGGTGGTTGCCTTGGGTATCGGAAACACCTGCTGACGCTTAGAGAAAAAGCGGGGTAGCGGTGGTATTGTTTCCGGTACTGAGGGAAGGCCCACCGAAACTTAGTAAGGAGTTAGGAGCAGAGAATAGAGGCCTTCGGAGTATAAGTACTCAGGTTCATTCTCGCCCTTCAGTCCTGTTCTCCCCAGTCTTCATCAGAAAGAAAACCAAGTTCTTATCGGTAGCAGAGCCCTTAAAGATTATTGAGTTCTAGCGATAGTATCTTTGAATAATCTGCAACCTGATTGTCTATCTTGCACGGCCGTCTCTATTCTATCCGATTCTATTTCTCTTAGAAAGGACCCCCGTTACAGGTAAGCTGTTACGGGCATGCCAAGCATTTACGGAAGTGAGAGAAAAGGCTAGTAGATACCCCAATACCCTCTGATACTAATGGCAATATCACTATCAACTCCGGTTCGCACCCACGAGGTGCGGTGCGATCAATACGCGACCAAATGCGGAGTTGCGGTTTTCCTACTTAAAAAAGAAGTTTTCGACCCCAATAATAACCCCCGGAGCGTCAAACCGCCGGAGGGGAGTGCTTTTGGACCGGTGGATATATGAGGGACAGCTGGAATCAATCGGATCGAAGATCCAACCACCCGGAGCAAATCGGCGCAAGCTGCCAGCCGACCGAGTACCTATCGGCGGTACCTGTGGGCATGAGAGGACTGTGCTATGTGGGAAAGCGATGTGGGAAGAGGCCTGAGTAGGTAGCTTTGCCGTCCGAGACCTCCGAATAGCCGACGCTGACGATTATCCACCAGACGGCCGATGGAGAAGAAACATCGACAGGGAAACGTGTATTATAATGGGTAAATAGGTTGAGGGGTTTTCTGCGGGTTTAGGAGTTTGGGTTACGGACTTAGGAGTTAAATGTTCTTGGTTGTTTTTCAGGGTCTCGGGCATGCCCCGAGTGTATGCTGTATTATTAGACTGGGTCCTCGAGACATAAGCGAGGGATATAAATACTGTGTCATTCACTGACTAGCCAAACCATCATCGGCGAAATCAGAGTCTTAACAATATAAATCGTTGATACGCGAGTTACAACTTTATTTTGACTATACTTTCTGAAATACTTTACTCTATCGTGACTTCGAACTCTACCTGAACTATTACGTCGAAGACGGTCGAACATCTTACGCTAACTCTAGTGAATCTTTGTTGATAACGTAGCTCGCGGGGCCCGTATCGGATTAAGGAGAATTATACTCGACGTTGACTGAAGAGACCTTGGAGGCTTCTACCTTTGTAGTTGTTAGCCGAACTCTGAGCTCTGCGTAGTGTACTCTTGTGGTCTGGTACGCATCCCTCACAGTTGACTACCGTGGACTTAACCGTGTGTCCATTAAGAACAGGTATCCGTTACCACTTATGGACGAACTGCGAGGTCGAGTGGCAGGCGCGGTTATCTTCTCGAAGATTGACCTGAAGGAAGGTTACAACCTCATCAGGATTAAAGACGGCGACGAGTGGAAGACAGCATTCCGTACGCGGTACGGGCATTTTGAGTATCTCGTCATGCCTTTTGGGCTGGCAAATGCGCCGGCGACCTTCCAGAACATGATGAATGATGCGCTGAGAGAATTCTTGGATCAAGGTGTAGTAGTATACCTTGATGATATCCTAATATATAGCAAGTCCCGAGAGAAACACCGGGAGCTGGTCGGCAAAGTACTTAGCAGGCTACAAGAATACAACCTGGTCGCCAACCCGAAGAAATCGTTCTTCGAGCTCACCGAAATCGAGTTCCTCGGATACATCCTTGCCCCAGCAGGCGTCACCATGGCACTGGATAAGGTTATATCTGTTACAAATTGGCAAGCCCCGCCTAGCGTTAAGAAAGTACAGATCTTCATGGGCTTTGCCAACTTCTACAGAAGGTTTATCCACAATTTCTCCGGGGTCTGTAAACCCATTACCGATTGTCTCAGGGTGATGCTAAGAACTTTGTCTGGTCTATGATGGCCCAAGCAGCCTTCGAAAAACTCAAAACCCTGTTTACGTCTGCGCCGATCTTGGTACACTTCTCTCCAGATCGCCAGACTATCGTGGAAACGGACGCAAGTGATTTTGCTATTGCCGCAATTCTATCCCAAGTTATTGACGGAAAGACTCACCCTATTGCCTTTTATTCTCGAAAGCTTAACCCAGCGGAACTGAACTACGACGTGTGGGATAAGGAGATGCTAGGGATTGTGTCGGCCTTCAAGCAATGGCGTCACTACCTCGAAGGACCTAGCCGAATGGTTCACGTTTATAAGGATCACAAGAACTTAGAGTACTTCTCTACAACCAAGGTTCTTAACCAACGACAGGCAAGGTGGGCTGAGTCTTTGGCGGAATTTGACTTTAAGATTATTTACCGCCCGGGAACCAAAAATGGGAAGGCAGATGCACTATCGCGACGGCCGGAGTACCGTCCTGAAGGGGCAGGCACGCTTGGGAAACAGCCGATAGACAGGTTCTTTAAGCCCGGACAGTTGGCGGAGGAAGAGTTTGTGGTATCAGCGGTGTCGCTTGCCTCCAAGGGGGTGATCGACTGGTCTAAAAATTTTCTGGATCATGTCAGGCAGGCGGCATCGGGAGACCCGACATGGGTAGGAATGAAAGAGAGAGTTGAGCAAGGGGAGAAGCTGGGGGAACTGAAGGATATTGCTGAGAAAGATGGGCTACTCTTCTATAAGAATCGACTCTACATTCCGGCTGTAACGGGGGTCCTTTCTAAGAGAAATAGAATCGGATAGAATAGAGACGGCCGTGCAAGATAGACAATCAGGTTGCAGATTATTCAAAGATACTATCGCTAGAACTCAATAATCTTTAAGGGCTCTGTGTTACGGGCATGCCAAGCATTTACGGGAGTGAGAGAAAGGCTAGTAGATACCCCAATACCCTCTGTACGCTAATATCAACTCTTGACCACACTCGCGGAGTGTGGTGCGACCAAATTACGACCAAAAAACCCAGAGTCATAAAAAACACGTTTTCGACCCCAATAATAACCCCCGGAGCGTCAAACCGCCGGAGGGGAGTGTTTTGGTACCGGTGGATATATGAGGGACAGCTGGAATCAATCGGATCGAAGATCGGACCGCTCGGAGCGAATCGGCGCAAGCTGCCAGCCGACCGAGTACCTATCGGCGGTACCTGTGGGCATGAGAGGACTCTGCTATGTGGGAAAGCGATGTGGGAAGAGGCCTGAGTAGGTAGCCTTGCCGTCCGAGACCTCCGAATAGCCGACGCTGACGATTATCCACCAGACGGCCGATGGAGAAGAAACATCGACAGGGAAACGTGCATTAGAGTGGATAAATAGGTTGAGGGGTTTCAGCGGATTTAGGAGTTTGGGTTACGGACTTAGGAGTTAAATGTTCTTGGTTGTTTTTCAGGGTCTCGGGCATGCCCCGAGTGTATTCTGTATTAATAGTAGACTGGGTCCTCGAGACATAAGCGAGGGATATAAATACTGTGTCATTCACTGACTAGCCAAACCATCATCGGCGAAATCAGAGTCTTAACAATATAAATCATTGATACGCGAGTTACAACTTTATTTTGACTATACTTTTGAAAATACTTTACTCTATCGTGACTTCGAACTCTACCTGAACTATTACGTCGAAGACGGTCGAATTCTATACGCTAACTCTAGTGAATCTTTGTTGATAACGTAGCTCGCGGGGCCCGTATCGGATCAAGGAGAATCATACTCGACGTTGACTGAAGAGACCTTGGAGACTTCTACCTTTGTAGCTGTTAGCCGAACTCTGAGCTCTGCGTAGTGTACTCTTGTGGTCTGGTACGCATCTCTCACACTCTGCTACCGATAAGAACTTGATTTTTCTTTCTGATGAAGACTGGAGAAAACAGGACTGAAGGGCGACAATGAACCTGAGTACTTATACTCCGAAGGCCTCTGTTCTCTGCTCCTAACTCCTTTACTAAGTTCCGGTGGGCCTTCCCTTAGTACCGGAAACAATACCACCGCTACCCCGCTTTTCTCTAAGCGTCAGCAGGTGTTTCTGATACCCAAGGCAACCACCCTTAGTCAAAGCCTTTGTAACACCTGCAGCCTTGGTTGCCACACAACCGAGGACCTGCATGAATGAGCTGCCGCTCAGGTGTAAGCTTAATCATTGCTGTAGAGCTTTTCGCTTATTGTAGACTTCCCTAGCATAGTCCCTGCCCTTCGGCGGAGACTTACAATGCTCGGAGGATACAGTGGATCACCGGACAATCAGAGCTTCACTCTGGCCGGTCTTCTAGACACTGGCGAGGCATAGACTCGTCAGTCATTGCTCCCATGAATAGACCCCCTTCCTAGTGCCCGGAATGTAGTTACTCTAACAGCTGGTAGCTAACCACACTGCCGGTACTTGCATATCACCTTGCAACTGGCTTCTAACAATAACTCTCAGCATGTAACCGGGCCCTGTGTGTACTCATACACCAGACAGTTGAAATGGCTCCGTTACACCACTCCCCTCTTCCAGGATCTTGGTCTCCGAGATCTATAATCATTTTATTACCATCTATCCTATGTGACAAGAAACTCCGTGATATGCAAGGAACGAAAACCTAAAGGGAAAAACTACACCCCAACAATCCGCTTGTCCTTGGGTTTCTTAGGATACCTCATATGGAAGTCCCGAAGGGCTTCTTCGGCACTCTTCTTGAGATGCTCCCAAGGTTCCCATGTAGCATCCTCGTTTTCATAACCTTCCCACAGCACTAGGTATTCCACTCGTCTTCTCTTCTTATTGACCCGGCTATCAGCTACCTCTCGGACAACCCAGTTCTGCTCTCCTTCAATCTCCTCAGGTTCCGGTGGAGGAACTCTTCTCTCAGGATCTACCGGTGCTCTGTAAGGTTCCAGAAGAGAGACATGAAAGACCGGGTGGATTCCCATTTGAGGGGGAAGAGAGAGCTTGTAGGCACGGGTACCAATAGCTTCTAAGACCTTGAAGGGTCCCATCTTCTTCTGATCCAATTTTCCCAAAGGCCGCTTTGTTTGCACATTGCGCCGGTCCAACATTACTTCATCTCCGGGCTTGATTTCAGGTGGTGCCAGGGCATGAGCATCATACCACCGGGCCATCCTTAATCTAGCTTTACCCAAGCTGGCATTCATAGCCTGCCAGATAGATTCCCATTGAGATATCATGACCTCACTTGCTGGATTGTTCCATTCTACTCCTTCCTTTGGGGCCGGCCAGTTGGTCCTGGGTTCATATCCATAGTTGGCATAAAAAGCCGATACTTTGGTAGACTCAGAGACCGCCGAGTTATATGCATACTCTGCCAAAGGCAACAGCTCTGCCCAGTCATCCTGTTGATATGAACAATAACTCCGCAAGTAATGTTCCAGGGTCTGATTAACTCTTTCTGTTTGACCGTCCGTTTGAGGGTGGAAAGATGTGGACATCTTCAGCTTCACATTGAGGAGGCTCATGAGAGATTGCCAAAAGTGAGAGATGAACCTGCTATCTCTGTCCGAGACTATGTCATCAGGCAAACCATGGAGTCTCCAAACTTCCTTCAAGAACAACTTAGCCAAATCTTCCGTTTTATTGAGGGTAGGAAGAGGGATGTAGTGTGCCATCTTCGAAAAGCGGTCCACTATTACCCAGATCTTTGTAAACCCACTAGATTCCGGTAATCCCACAATGAAGTCCATAGAGATGGAAGTCCATGGCCGATAGGGTATCTCCAACGGTTGTAGCATACCAAACTTCTTATGTCTTGAGGTCTTATTCCTCTGGCAGCTGTCACAGCTCCGGACATATTCCTCAACATCCTTATCCATGTTGGGCCAAAAGAAGTTGTTTTTCAGCCGCTCAAGTGTCTTAAATTGGCCAAAGTGACCCGTCACCTTAGAGTCATGGGTATCGGACAGTATTTCCATCTGAAGCTTCTTGTCATTGGGTATATACCATCTATTCTTGTAGAAGATGAGACCGTTCTTGACCGACAAGTTCTGGTCTAAATTTGGTTTCCTTTCAACTAGGGAGCGGTGCAATTCCTGCCAGAAACTATCCTCTTTAGCAGCCGTGTATAGGCGCTCTAAGAATGTATTCTGCAATTGATTCACCCTGACAGCCACTAGCTTTGCATGATCCAAAACCAATTGACCTGGCCTAAAAAAGATCTGTGGCTCCGGCTGCAGAGTTTCACCTCCCTCTCCAAGGCGGTGATCCCAGCGCCTAGATAGCACATCAGTCTTGCCATTCTTTTCTCCCGGTCTGTAGACAACTTTAAAATTGTAGCCCGCGAGGTCTTCAGACCATCTAGCTTGCCGCCTAGTGAGAACCTTGATAGAATTAAAGTACTCCAAGTTCTTGTGGTCTGTAAAAACCGTGATCTCTTGCTCACAAGATTTGAGCATGTGTTCCCATTCCCGGAAAGAGGCTACAATAGCTCCCATTTCCTTATCATGAATGTCATAGTTGATCTCAGCAGGGGAGAACTTCTTAGAATAGAATGCCACCGGATGTAGCTTCCCATCATCCCCATACTGAGAGAGTGTAACGGGGGTCCTTTCTAAAAGAAATAGATTTGTATAGAATAGAGACGGCCGTGCAAGATAGACAATCAGGTTGCAGATTATTCAAAGATTCTATCGCTAGAACTCAATAATCTTTAAGGGCTCTGCTACCGATAAGAACTTGGTTTTTATTTCTAATGAAGACTGGAGAGAACAGGACTGAAGGGCGAGAATGAACCTGAGTACTTATACTCCGAAGGCCTCTGTTCTCTGCTCCTAACTTCCTTTACTAAGTTCCGGTGGGCCTTCCCTTAGTACCGGAAACAATACCACCGCTACCCCGCTTTTCTCTAAGCGTCAGCAGGTGTTTTCCGATACCCAAGGCAACCACCCTTAGTCAAAAGCCTTTGTAACACCT